AAGACATATCCGTGTCTATTTTTTTTATAGTTACTGAAATCGTTTATTGCTTACAAAACAGGATGGGTGAAAATAAACAAAGCCACAACGCTTGTAACTAACGAGCCCTTGTCAATATTAAACAACGGAGTTAACAGATAAGGCCGTTATGAAAAATGTTTTGCCGCCAAAACTCACTCGTTCTTTTTCTTTAACCTTTAAAGCATGTCGGTGACGTGGTAATTTAATAAGATATCTGGCGATAATATAAAGGCGTTTGTTTAATTATAAACAGTCACAGTTGGAATACGAAACCTGTTCACTATTTACGTTATTCGGACTATTGTCCTCATCTTTGTCACCATATTTATTACAACGTTTCGGCCGTTGTACGCCCCGGCCTTCTTTAGGTAGTTGGGATATCGAACGGAACCCTTTCACTGGGGTAGACTGTTCTAGTTCCACGTGCCATGTTTTTAATGGATGTCAGTTATCAGTTATCTCCTGTTAATTGAAAAAGGCCGGGGCGTACAACGGCCGAAACGTTGTAATAAATATGGCGACAAAGATGAGGACAACAGTCCGAATAATGTAAATAGTCTACATAATACCTTATCTCAAAAATATAGACAGATACTGAAACCTATTCATTTGTATCTATTAAATTATTACAATTCTTATAAATCCGTATATAACATTTACAAGGGATAATCAAAAAGTTCGGTGAAAATAAAGCATGTTATAAGAAACGTTTTCCGGTATTTTGATAGATGTTTATAACGTCAAATACCTCGGTATATGAATCAGCTATAAAAAAAAATAGTATAGGAGAAAAGAAAATTTAACACAAAATTTGGTTCGTCAGAGTTAGTTTCACCTAAAACCGTAAATTTCTAGTAAACAAAAAAAAAAAAAAAAAATTAACCTGAAAACACATTCTTAAATATCCTCATCAGATCAAGATGGCGCCAAACCCTTTTAGAAATATTCTAAACGGTCAAATGTAAACAATTGTTTTCTAGGTCCATTACTGGGAAGAGCGATAACAATTACTGGAATTGCCAGAAAAATTGTTTTAAGAGAAAGATTTTATAAATTTTAACCAGCAGAATTGCCTGCTTGCTCAATGAATGACAAGTGTTTTCTTTGCAGGTAAACGGCTAATATTACAATTACCATTTCCAAAGTAAACTTGTAAACGGGAAGTATTTCCAGGCAACAGACGGAAGTTTATGCCAGTTAAAAACAATCTTTAGAAAAGCATGAATCCTGTACAAACTGAAGCAAAATCTAACATCAGGTTTAGAAAACATAGCTAGAATACTAAGGAGATTATTGATGTTAAAATTTATAGAGATAATTCATCCCAAATGGATAACTCATGTTAACGGGTGTTCTCTCAGAGATGGCCGAGACTTAAGCCCCTATTGGGAATTAAGTTCAGCTCAGATGTCAAGTAAATCTCTTACGTACGATCCATCGCTAACGATGCAGAAAAATGATCGGTTCCCTGTACTCCTCCAGTGAGTACTTGTAATCGTCCTGCTATCATATATATTAAAGCCAGATCAACCTGTAAATCGAGTATTGCTGTCCAGTCTTCATTTTCGGTCTTGACAGAGGCCAAAAGCATTTCTACGGTTCTGTGTGTGATGAATTATTTTCCACCCTACAACCACTTTCCCCACAAACGAATCATTGCAAACCTCTCACTACTCTGTCGTTATTTCCATGGGAAGTGTTCAGACGAATTACAGTCATTGGTTCCACCAGTTCTATCACATTTAAGACTCGCCGTGTCACGTACTGTTGTGACCAAATAAATAACGAACACTAGAATGGCCAGCTCCTTTGACATCTTTATTTACATTACGCCGTGAAGCAGCCATCTTTAATATATTCAATATTCAAGTCAGGAATAACAAGTCTGAAAAGAAATTCACAAATATTAGTATATCTCATACTGATTATATAATATATATATATATATATATATATATATATATATATATATATATATATATATAATTATGTGTGTGTGGATAGAGAGATAGATAGATAAGTAGGTGACATAAACACAAGTATTATTGCTTGTGAGAAATTTTTCAATACATTTACCCTATAAATAGCCTAGGTGTCAAAAACGACATTTCAGCCATTCAAGGTAAAACCTCAAATATCAGCTATTCCACTGAATATTTTTTAAAGAATTAAGTCTGTTAAGCATCTTTGCTAAAATTCAATAATTGTCCATAAGCCTCAGCATCGAACCAAAATTAGTTATTCTATAGTAAGTTGTTGAAAACTTGAAGGTGTCGAAAACGACACCTCGGCCATCCTAGTGTTAAAGAAATAACAAAACAAGTATTGCAGATATATCATATACTGAACAGTAAATACAACAGAAGAGTATTACACGACTAGTGAGTGTGTGTCGGTTGACCCAACGTTCAATCTATTCGACTGTTCCCCCAAAGCCATCTCTCCTACTAATCTTATACTAGGCGGAAGAATCCAACATAGACTCTTTAAAGGGAGGAAACCACAACACGTACATTGTATCGAATCCCCCTAATTCCCTTTGTATTCCATTGTTGAGATGAATGTTCCACACGAGTAGCTTCTTCCCACTAACTGCTGCTTTGTGGAACCGTCTCCCATGAGGGTGCTTCCCACTACAATCTTAACCTGTTCAAGTCTAGGATTAACCGCTCATATCTCCATAACCTCTGTTTCTTACTTTGTAATGGGTGAACGTTATTGTAAAAACATATTTCGAAGAAAGACGAGACGGAGATGACGAAATGGTTCGGCAGACCACCAACATCTCTTTGTGGTGAAAATGACGATGTTCGCCGCGATTTTAACTGAGGGCGACCAACGCAGAAATAACACCAGCGACATCTCAGTTTGGTCAGCACTCATAACAGACATCAGCGTCACTTTCAATATAAATTTTACACAAATAAAAACCATTAACTGTTTTTGAGTGGAATTCTAACTGGAAATGAAACTTGTCTTTACCAACAATCTATTGGCAAACATCAGTCAAAGCGATAGTTACTCAAAGGTGGAAAGGGTCCGAGACAATGTAAAAGCAAATTGGTCAGGACGAAACGTCAGGTGACAGCTTTTTGTGAACATTGAGAACATTTTGCAAGTCGACATTGTCAAGATGACTCATTATTACGAAGGGGTTTTGAGAAAATTAGCAAATAATGTGGACAGTTTTAACAAAGTATCATTTTTCAGCACGACAATATCCCTTCCTAGTCCTCTCATGAAACAGAAACTGCATTCTGAGCACTCTTTTCTTTGTATTTATGAATGTACCAGTATTATCTATTGCGTCAAGTCTTTTCTTAAAAATATAAAATATTACATCATATAAATCATTACGTACAAATGTTATATATTGTATCCAATATTACAATAACCAATATGCAGTAGCCCCACAATCTTTTCTTTGCATCTAAGAATGTATCCAAGACTTTCTGTTTCTTGTTTCCCATTTTCTAACGGTCCTAGCGTTTCATTGTTAATATAGGTTTTAAATATTCTTAATATATCTGCCATGTCTTCATTCATTTGAATGAAGATGGCACGATCATGAAATATATTGTCACTTGGAGTCGCTGTAGTCTTACTGAATTCTGTAGCAAGGATATAAGGCTCGCTCCCGGCTGGCTCACTCCCGACGATTCTCGGCGTCAGTGTATATGCTATTTGGACGAATCCAAGTCATATTCTGGAGAGGTGTGTTAATCTCCACCGCGATATGTTTTAAATATTAATCTTTTTTTTTCTCGGTGGCGTCATTTTTCTGTATAAATGAGAGTTATAATCGAAACGTTTTCTAAAATAAAATAATTATAAATTATTATTATAACTCGCTTTTCGAAAGTTTTCATTATGACACTTTAAAATGAAAGAATTGCATCTTTAGGGGCTTCCACATTTATCAGAAATGGCGCAAAGTGAGGAAATACTTACCACAAGTTTATATGAGAAAATAGTTTTGAGCGTTGCTAATCACCCAAAATAACCTTATTTTTTGCCTACCTAGCTTAGTATGGCTGATCTGATGTGAAAGTCATGATATATGCTCAACTGTTCAGGTTCATACGTTTCACTGTTGTAGAATTCTTTTTAAGTATTTTATTATGCTCTAAACCTGCTTGCTGTAAAGAAAAACAGACGAACCTTTTTAAGATTTTAATGAAGCTTTAAGGTTCATTTTTTTTCTTTACAATTTTTTTTTAATGTAATGTGACCTCTGCCCATACGTGAGGTTCGATTATTCATTTTGTAGTAGATTAAATTCGATAAGGGGACAATTATGGTTGTCATCACAACAATTACCTTTTCAAAATTAAATTCAGTTATGGTTATAATCATTGCAACACTGTCTCTGAATTGTAGCGGACATGCGAAGTTTATTTTTTATGGCCTAGGGAACATTCAAATATTTTTCTCGTTGAAATCAATGGTAATTATTTCATCACTCAGTCCGCTATTTCTGATTATGAAAACATTCTTAAGAACTCTATTTTCGGATAGTGGGTTAAAAATTTAAAATTCTTTTTTATATAATTTCTCATGTGTTTGTATATTTTTCTTTTCAGGACATAAATTTTATACAAATTGTTCGAATGATTTACAAGCCGTTTCGGCTACACTTTTAGCCATTATCAAGGATGAATTTTAATTAATTTAATTTTTAAGGATGGCAACAAAAAAAAAGCAACATAAATATGATTCTACAGAAGGATACTGAGAATTCCATGGACAGATTGAGTAAGCGACAAGGAAAGAAAATGGCAGCAGAAAGAACACCTCTACTCAGAATCAGGAAGAGACAGCTGATATTCATTGGACACATAATGAGGATGGAGAGCTTGGAAAGCTTAATCCTCACAGGGTATATTGAAGAGAGATTGGTAAGGCAGTGAACCACCTACCTGACGAGGTAGGATATTTGGGAGAGCCATGATCGCCTATTTCCTAAAGGGACGCGATACATAGAAGAAGAAGAAGAAGAAGAAGAAGAAGAAGAAGAAGAAGAAGGTGAAGATGGAGGAGAAGAAGAATTGATTTCTCGTTCCAACGAGATATTTCGAGATTTGCTTATTGCAATCATTATAATGCTAGTCTGATAAACCAACTGAGACTTTTTTTTATGAAATCGTGCTTGGAAGTGGGTCTTGCTAAGTACTTTTCAGCAATTCCTTGTTCGTTATTCAAATGAAGTGCATTCTTTAAACATATAATTATTGAGAATTTAAAATAGTAGATATTAATTCTTGAGATCTGATTGATAGAAAAGTATATGGGACACTAAACTAATCTGAAAAGCCATTGTGAATATAGTTCAATGACCACTGGGTACCCCATAACTTGAAACCTTATGCGATTAGGTTTGTTGTTACCATGCATGTATCATGCAAAAGATTTTGACACTTTAAATTATTGTAAATTTCTAATTGACATCTGGCAAATGGGTATTTTTGGTGTCGTCGACAGTTAAAACGTTGCCCACATTGAAATCATTTTCACATCCAATTATAATATATTTTAGGTTACCGTAGATTGTGCGAGGTGCCCCCCACCTCAAAAAAGTGTCCGTGCAAAGATTTCGGCCACCTCAGAGAAACCAAAACAGATCATGTGTTTTTATAAATCAGGAAAATGTCTGTAATAAAAATTTACTTACATTATTTACATTATTCAGACTGTTATCCTCAACTTCATTGCCATATTCCCAACGTTTCGGCCGTTGTATTCTCCAGCTTTCTTTAGATGATTGAAGGCCGGAGTGTACAACAGCCGAACTTTGTGAATGTGTCAATGAAGATGAGGATAACAGTCAGAATAATATATGTAATGCAAATAAACATAATACCTCATCTTAGAGATATGTCATAAATGAAACATCTTATCTTAGATAATGAAAATTTATTATATAATGTTGCTTTCAAGAAGCTAATGCGCATGGTTAATATTTTGTGTGGCTTCGTGTCGCTTCAAAAATTGCTTCAGTGCGCCTGTGGTTAGATGCGTACAAATCTGACGCCATTTTCACAAGGAGTACATACCATTCTCTGTGGAATGGTATCTAGTACCTGTGTCCCTCAAGATCACATGTATTCTTTTGACGAATTTTACACTTTAGTTCTGTCAACATTTGATCCATGTTTTAAGTCAGGGCTATAATCTAGCGAATATTTCAATATGGTGACACATTCATCAATCAGCTTCTGCTGTGTTACTTGGGATCTGTGATATGGAGCTCCGTAATGCTGAAATATCTCGCCTTCATCCAAGTTGTGTTTCAACTGTTTCTTTAGGAACAGGATGTATTTAGCACTATTCAAGCTGCCATCAATTTTAACTAATTTTCTTGAACCCGAAAACACCAAAATCTTACCCCCAACATCTTCAGTTTTCGTTGTGTAACTTGGGTCATTTAGCTTTCTTGTCGGTCTTCCGCCAAATTCACTTAGAATTCAGCTCCATCATCCTTTCGCCGCTGAATGTGACTTTATCCCAAGAAGCAGTTCATACCACTTTGACCAACTTTATGTTGTCTTCAAATGCTTTTTGTTTGAAACTGGTTTCTTCGTTGAAATGAACCTCTCCAGTCCATATTCTTGCACTTAGTTTTATCTACTCACATGAAATTGAACAAATCCATTATTTATCTACCTGTCCATCTTTCACAGAGCTTTTTGCTGTCCTGATCAGTTTCGGTACTATCCTATACTGTAATTCTCGAAGGCAATCAGTAATTTGGGACACTGAGATGATGTGTAAAAAACCGCTTCTTGATATTCCAAGTTCTTTAGCGTATTGCCCGTTGTCTCATATTCTTGGCCATTTTCACTATCTTCATTCTTGGATTTCTCCATGTTTTAAAGTAATGAAATAATGAAAGAATTTGATATAAGAATGTAGATTATATGTATGAAAAATAAAAGACATTGTTTCGAAAAAATAAATTGCCTTTTAGCGGTGGAAAAGAAAAGAGGAAACAAAAAGGTCAGGTGGCCGAAAAATGTTGCTGGGTTACTTTGGTATGTTGTCTCGCATCTTTTCTCCCCATTCAAAACCCTTGCTAAAATATGATAATTAGATGGGAAAATTTCTCTAACATGGCCAAAGTTTCATCTGTAGACAGTACAATAAAAAACGTCCATTTATAAATTTTTATAATGTCAACGAACACTCGTTGTCACTTTTGTAATGCCAAAAAATACTCGTTGTCACTTTCGTAATGTTCGTTGTAGTAGAGACGTTGTAATCACAGATACAACTATAATATGCCGTTGAACAATGCTGGTGTCAGCCGTTTTCGAAATGCACTCCCACTAATAGTACTTGCTCGATAATATTCATTGGAATAGTAGCCATCGAATAGTGATCCGAATAGTGATCCGAATAGTAATCTGTATATTGGTCTACTTATTCAAAATGGGATTTTCTTTTCTTTGCTTTCTGGTAATCTGTGTTCAAACTCTAGTG